CCTTCCTCTACAAGGCAAAGCCTGAGCCGTCAGAGACGAGAAGGAGGCAGCTTGCATAGCCTAATGTTGGTAGGGTTTAGGGTTTAGGGTTTAGGGTTTAGGGTTTAGGGTTTAGGGTTGGGGCCTTAATAGGTAGAACAGGGTTCCTTCTATAAGGATTTTATTAAGGATGCGTACTCAAGAGATCTAAAGAAATGTTGTACGGTTTGTCTCGACGTGGGTTTGTGGCAGCGTGAAGAGAACGCTGATTTAGAATCTGTAAACAGCCATGCTCGAGTCCACAGCACGGCCCACCACCTTGGTAACCCAGAACATTCAACTTCAAACCCCTCCATAAGGTGAGAAACTTGAAATGGTATTTATAAAAGGTTCTATGATTCAGGATTAAGGTTGCGGAGCACGTGATCCACCCCCAACCCCAGGTCATCTGATCACCCATACATGTCTGTAACAGACATGCATCCACAAGACGTCAGCTGCTGACCTAAGTAGCTAGTGCATTATGAAGTTGCCACGAATGAAACGGGAAGCATGCTCCTCACATAATTCGATGGCGTAGCCATCATGCCTTGTTGACCCAGGTTTCACCCGGCCTAGAGTGCAGATGTAAAGATAGCGGCAGGATTTAGGGTTTAGGGTTTGGGGTCTAGGGCTTAGGGCTTAGGGTTTAGGGTTTAGGGTCTAGGGTTTAGGGTTTAGGTTTCAGGTTTTAGGGTTTAGGGTTTAGGGAGGAGCTTCTGTTTAATAACTCTATGTTCGTAGCAGTTCGCAAGTTACTAAATTGAGAAGCATGTTGGAACCCATGCCCGTATTGCCATCGCTCCGGAGGGTTTGAGAAGAATCTTCGAAGGCCTTTCAAGCGAAGCGCTTTCAGGCTCAGCGGCTGATATGGGGATGGTCCTTTCGCATCCTCAAAGTTTGTCCATGATGTGCTAATGCACAAGGAGGCCAATTCCTGGTGCCCAAACGGGGGCAGAGGTTCAACGCCACCGCAAACAGGCGAACACGTTCCAAGGTGCGAGCACAGATGGAGAGGGAGATGTTCGCATGGGATAGCAAGGTTGGTTTTACATGGCTGGTACGAATGGCTTTATTGAGCTTGTACTTGTAAATACCTAAACCCTGAAACACTGAACGGGCTCTTTCAGGGTCCCTAGGACGTTTCCTCAAAGCTAGAACGCACAACTCTCCTCATCCGTAAAACTCCCACCCGCTACTTGGCGGATCTGCGAACTTAGTAGGTAAGGCTATAAGATAAGTACTTGCTCGGGTCGTAGTTAGAAGTGCTTTTAGCCATAGTAACCCTAAACCCTAAAACCTCTAGATTTCCTTATTTGGAACCCCAGTTATTATAGTCCCGTGATCTTTTTCCCCCCGAAGCCCTGATAGAAGCCTCAGAAGAAACCCTTTATAAAAGGGAACCTTACAGTCCCATCATCGTCTCACCCTGAACCCTAAGCCCTAAACCCTGAGCCCTAAACCCTAAGCCCTAAACCCTAGACCCTAAACCCTAAACCCTCAACCCTAGACCCTAAACCCTAGACCCTAAACCCTAGACCCTAAGCCCAGACTATGCCTCCAACCGCGCGGTGCTCTGGCGCGACGACTGCGCCGAGACGGGGCCGCAGTGGATTGGTGCCGAGCCGAGGCCGCCCCAAAGCCTGAACCTGCAGGGTTTAGGGTTTAGGGTTTAGGGTTTGGGGTAGTTTATACTATAACTGCAATAGGGAACCCCTCAAAATTCGCAGAGGGCTAAAAAAGCGGGCCTAAAGAATTAGAAGAGGGTTCCTTTAAAGGGTTCCTAAGGGTTCTATAAGGGCTACTAGAAGGGTTTAGGGTTTAGGGTTTAGGGGCCTGAATAATTAGAATGTGGTTTTGGTGTCCTTTATAGTGTAAGTAATTATTGAGGCCCCTACTTTAACAGCTTAACCCTAAATCGTAAACCCCGACCCTGAACCCAAAACCTTTGGCCTTGTGAAGCCTGAACCCTAAAGAGTAGAGGCTTTGGGTCGTTGTGAGGGTTCTAGAAAGGCTTCATCGGGTTTCCTAGAAAGGGTTCTAAATAATTACCTATACTGTTTTGGCGGTTCCTTATTATAGCCATAGTATAATGGGCCCCAAAAACCCTATCTTAATTATTAAGCCTTAAGCCCCAAATAGCTATAGTATAATGGGCCCCGAAACCCTATTCTAGCCCTTGTAGAACCCTTAAGAACCCTTTAAAGGAACCCTATTCTAATTATGAAACGCCCCTGGAGTAGGGCCCGGGGGATGGCGAGGCTGAGGGGGCAACCAGGGCAGAGGGCTCCCGGATTTCGATTCTTCTTGTGGCTGCATACTTCAGTTTAGGGTTTAGGCTTCAGGGTTCAGGGTTTAGGGTTTAGGGTTTAGGGTTCAGGGCTCAGGGTTTAGGGTTTAGGGTTCAGGGTTCAGGGTTTAGGGGTTAGGGGTTCAGGGGTTAGGGCTCTGGGTTTGGACTAACTTTTCAAGAAGATGGTCAAAGTTGCTTGTATGGAGAGTCTTCAATTGCCTGGTCGGGCAGATTTCTGGGGTGAGGGGGGGGGGGGGGGGGG